AACGCTGGAATTTGCTGATGTGTTCCTTTTTGATGTCTGCTTGAATTTTTTTACCCTGTAAAAGTAATAAGATGAGTTATAACTTGCGTCACATATATTACAAAGAGAAATGGAAAAAATTCGAATGGTACTTACAGCCTTATCTGCCAGAATCATTTCTAATGACATGCCAGAACCTTTTGTAAAATGAATCCAGGAATGAAGTATTCTAACTTGAATACACCAAGATGTCTTGAAAGGCTTCAAGTTATTGACTGGTGTGTATCGACTAACCTCAGCCATTTTTGGTATTTTTTTTTTTTGCAGGTTATAAGAAAAGAGAAAGAGACGATTTTGATGAGTATTATGCTAAAGCTAAGACGCTTATTTATAGTTGTAGATAGTCGATTATGATATAAGAAGATTTGGAAATATATTAGTTAGATAATAGTTAGTAAAAGGTATATTCTAGGGTAGCAAACAGGACTATAGAATCATAACATATATAACAAAGAGATTTGACAAAAAATTTGAAAGGATTTTTAGGAAACTGAATTATATTGTTTAGCTTAACGTTAAGATTACGAAACTGAGGTCAGAAACAAAGATTTAGGAAAGTGAAAATATTGTATTGTTTAGCTTAATTCGAATTTAGCTTAATCAAAGATTACGAAATTGATGATAAAAGATGTTTAGGAAAGACACATTTTCAATTTTTAGTAATATTTTCAAAAAATGGAGAATTATATAGTAATAACATTTTCGAACTATATGAGTATTATAATTCAAAATAGCATTTTTTATAAATTGGATTGATATAAAATATTTTCAATGATAGCTTAATTCGAATTTAGCTTAATCAAAGATTACAAAATTGATGATAAAAGATGTTTAGGAAACTGAAAATATTGTCAAAGATTACGAATTGTAGTTGAAAATAACTTTTGTTTAGATATAACAACGTAGACACATTTTCAATTTTTATAACATTTTCAAAAAATGGAGAATTATATAGTAATAACATTTTCGAACTATATGAGTATTATAATTCAAAATAGCATTTTTTATAAATTGGATTGATATAAAATGTTTTCAATGATATATCATTTTCATTAACATTTTTGATAACATGTTCGAATAATGGATTACTATATAACATTTTTACTAATTGTGTTACATTTTCGAATTGATTAGTATATAACATTTTTGAATTATATTAACTATGTATTATATAAACAAAATCTTTTAATATCTTTAAACTCGTTGACCCGTTGACCCGTTTATATATATTAGTGACATGAAATAAATTTTATGATTAGAACTAGATGTTAACCCGCGGTACACCGCGGGCCTAAATATTATTTGATTTTTTTAATTATTAATTTAGATATTTTATTTGACATATATGAATTTTTTTTAATTTAAATGTATATATTGATATTTAGAGTTGTATATATCTATAAATGGTAGAATTAGTCAATTTCAATTTCATTTTAGTAAAAATAGATTTATAATTTTTAATAAATAAAAACTTAAATTCTAATTTTAAAGATTATCTACAGATGGAACCTATTGTTTTGTTTGACATAAATATATATTGTACTGTTAGTATGTTTTAGGTTTCAATTTCAAAATATATAAACAAAAACATACAGTTCATTAAGCAACGCTATATAGCGGATTTGAATATGAATTTATTTTTGTTGTTTGCATTTTATTATAATATTTTGTATTTTAGAGATTGACCCGTGGTACACCGCGGATCGATTTTTTATAATTACAAGATTTAAATTGTAAGGTGTATTTGTTTTGTTAATATTATTTGTTTTGTTTAGTGTTTAAGATTGTATTATTGTATTTTGATTGTTAATTCTAAAATTTCATCCGTAGTATACCGTCCCATATTAATATCTAACCAATCCTGTCCCACCATATAATCATGTCTCGTGAAATTAAACATCATTTTGTCATTTTTTAAATTTTATTTAAAAACATATAATTTGAAGCAATTTAAAAGTTTCCTTTAATTAGTTTACATAATATATATATATATATATATATATATATATATATATATATATATATATATATATATATTTAATTGTTATAGAGTTCAAATATTATTAATATTACAAACTTTTTATAGAATTTAAATATTTTAAATATTTATAATGTTTTAACTTCTTATAAATTTTTATAAAGTTCAAATATTTATAATAATTGAAACTTCATAAAATTTCTAATATTATAAATATTTAAAACGTTTTATAAAGTTTAACTTTCAAAAAAATTTAAACAATTATCATATTTAACTTTTAATATTCAGATTTGGTTTCTTTCTCAACATTGTCTGTGCAACAAAGAAAAAATAGGAAGTATTTATAGTCGTGTAAGGTAGTTTTGGAAGATCTTGGTGAGCAAAGATAATATCTTTGGAACCATAAGGCATTTCAGATCAACCATTCCTTAAAAATTGGATTGTCATTTCTTAAAATATCTATTAATATATTATCAAATTTAATTAGTTTACATATATAAAATTTCGTTTTTTCTTCCATATATACTAATCATAATTAATTAGTATAGTTTAGTTAAGGAAATATTTTAAAATCTAAACAAAATTTCGTTGTATGATTTTTTTTTCTTGCGAAATTTGTGTTGATAATATATGGAAATATTTGGAAAGCGATTTTCAAATTATATCTTAACTTAAATGGAATTGAAACGACCATTGTTGAGATATGGTGGATGATTTTGTCTCTTTTTTTATATATAATTATTGGCTAATTATAGAGCCAATTAATGTAGGAATAAGTTAAGGAAACAGAGTTAAATATTTATATGAATAAGATTTTGACCCAATCCATAAAAATCACGGGGTTTTAACCCGCATGACAAATTTTTAGTTATCGTACTTTTAATTTACAAAATCAAAGTTAATATATTCTTATTATTTTTAGATCAGATTAATCAGATTTTAGATCAAAGTAAACAAAGGTATTTTAGATTATGTTTTATCATCAAAGTTCCAGAAACAATTTGTCTTATGACTTACACAAACGATACAACAATCAATTTCTTTTTTCTCTACTCTCTCTATATACAACCTTAATGTAATATTACAACCACACAACACATTTATACTACTTCTTATCTTAACCTATTTACTTACTCTAGATTATATTAACAACATAAAATAACCCACTTAACATTTGAGCCTTAAAATAAACACATTGGTCCAATGGCCTTTTTCTTCTTTCTTCTCCTTCCACCTACGACAAACTTCTTCTTCTCTTCTTCTTTTGCTTACGATTGTTCTTACTCTTCACCATCTTCTCACACCTTTCTCTTACAATCTCTTTTGCATATGGTTAATCAAAGATGAGATTACAACACAAATGAGCTATCTGATTAGAGGATAGTTTAGTAAAAGAGAAACATATATTTCTAAACTTGGCTGTCCAGAAGTGAATATCTTTGCATAAGGCTTCAATAGCGAAGTCCACCGTAAGACCCTTGATGATGTTGATGTAAGACCCTTGATGATGTTGATGTATAGCCGTTGGACCACACTTGTTGCATTGACATTAGTAGAGCTTTAGCCTCAGCTTCCGGTGGTGTACGTGCAGGTAGTAATTTTGCGGCTCCCCATCTTTTCGATTCACCTTGACAATTATACGTTTGTTTAATTATTTACTAACATAAACTCCTTTATAAAAAACAGAATCCAAGAAACAACAAAAATAAAAATCAACAAAGCAAAACAAAATAAACATAATCATCAACAAAGCTATACCACGTAGAAAATTAAGAAGCCACAAGAGATGTAATTGTTTATGTCTTCATTTTCTTTTACCAAGTTTCAATGAAAAATTATATGAATAACATAATGATAGGGATCCACCACATTGCTTGCGTAGTAAAGACCCCAAGCCCAGAGCTAAAATTTTCAATTCCTGAATCCAAACACAAAAATGAAAATACAACATTACACAATGAAAACAGAAACTGAAATTTGAAAAGAGAATTAGCCTAACTTACTATCATCCTCTAAATCATAAGTATCCATGTCGAGTTCTTTCTTCTGCTATTGCTTTTGCATGTGAAACTTCACCATTCACCATTCTCTTCTTCGTGTATGTCTCTGTGTCTTCTTCATTTTTACTGTTATTTATAGATGCATTACTCGTCTAGGGTTAAAGTTGAGTCGGTTTCAGAATATCTTGGAAAACAATTAGAAAATCTTAGATTTCTTAAACAAATTAGATAATGCGATCAAATAAAGAAAGGATCCAAATCTAATAATTTCGAAATATATATAGAGTAATTAGTTTCTTTAAAATCGAGATTTAAGCAAGCATTTAGGAACAATATATGAGATAAGGTAGTTAGTTTAGATTGTGGAAATATTCGAAATCAATTAGAGATACAATTTATTACGGTATGATTAATGTGGCAATTAGTTTAGGTAATAATAAGAAACTGAATTGTGAGTTATTATTGGCCAAATATGGGATTTTCTTTATTACAAACCTCCTTAAATATCTTATCCAGGATCCGAATAGAATAAAACCGGGTCAAAACCCGGATCCAAATGATTAAAAGCAAAAAAACCCTGTAAAAATGTATATGTAGATTCTATAATGGCATATATTGTAATTTCTTACAAAATCAAAGTCATGATCCTTAAGATTTACTTCCCAAATATTAGTATAGGATTTTGTCTCGTTCCCGTTCCGGTTCAGTTGATTCTTTTATCCAATGTCAATATGTAATCCACAACCAATAGCTGGTTTAGGTTTATTCAACATTTATAAAAAGATAAAAACTGAAAACAAATTTACTCTGTTTCTATGTTTTCTGGTCAACATAATTACTCTGCTAAATCTCCCCCAAAATAGAAATAGATAAAAAATGAGCAACGAAATAAGCAAATAGGGAAGCGTGCCAGTCTGTAACAAAAATCTCAATCTTTCCATACTTATCGATCACGTCATCTCCTTTGTCTCCATTACCTAACTCCAATCCTTAAAAATCATTACATCTTTCACCGATTTCACTACACTGCTCAAAAAAATGGCGAATACCCAACTCAAATCTGATGCAATCATGGACATGATGAAGGAACATCTCTCTTCCGACGCCGGGAAAGATCTCACTCAGAAGATCGGTCTTGTTTATCAGATTAACATTGCTCCAAAGGTTGGTCCTTTCTTTAGAGATTCGTTTATTTTATTGCTCTGGTTTGTTTTATGTTGATTGTGAAAGATTTGGAATTTCAGAAATTAGGGTTTGAAGAGGTTACTTACATCGTTGATCTGAAGAAAGGCGAAGTCACCAAAGGTTAGCTTTTTTTTTGTTGAGATTATGGCAAAATCTGAAAGTTTTGATTTTGGGATTGTGGCAATTGGGAATTTGAAGAATAGAATCTTGAAATTTGGGTTTTTACATCAAAGGTTAGCTCTTTCTTGTTGATTATGGCAATTGAGAATTCAAGAAACAGAATCTGAAATTTTGATTTTAGAAGTAATTGGGAATTCAGAAAAATAGTATCTTGAAATTTGATTTTTACACCAAAGGTTAGCCTTTTCTTGTTAATTATGGCAATTCAAATGAAGAGAATCTGAAATTTTGGTTCTAGATGATAAGTAATTGATTTTTCGACTTTTCGTTATCTGTAATCTTTGAAAATTAGGGAAATATGAAGGAGGGAAAGTGGATGCGACGTTTTCCTTCAAGGATGATGATTTTGTCAAAGTTGCTACTGGGAAGATGAATCCTCAGATTGCTTTCATCAGGTTTGTTCATTCTCTCATTCCTCTCAGTATCTCATTTACTCTGCATTACACATGTATGTTTAGCAGTTTTAACTGGTCTCTGAACCACAAAATCCGACAAACTCAAGCTTTCTCCAAGTTTTGTCTTGTTGTCTGAACCACAATCTACCATTATAAGCTTTTGTGTGACTTTTATTTGGTCCAAGAAGTTGATCTCTGAATCCTGAAATATGTCACTTCCTTTGCATTACAGAATTATCTTTAACAGTTTTATCTTATTTCTGAACCAACAAAATCTGTGACTTGGGTTTGGTCCAGAAAATGGATCTCTGAATCCTTTCATATGTCATTTAGCTGTTTTATCTTGTGTCTTAACGACAATCTTTAGAAGTTGATCTCTGAATCCTGTGTTTGTTGTTAAATGATGATGCAGGGGTGCGATGAAGATCAAGGGTAGTCTCAGTGCTGCACAGAAATTCACCCCCGACATCTTCCCAAAGCCTTCGAAGTTGTGAACACCTAAAAGAATGGTATTGCAGCAAACCCTAAACTCAAGCTCAATTTATGTCTTCAAAGGGGTTGGCTTTTTAGTAGAACTAGTCAGAAATAAAGTTCTCTTCAAGTATCTTTGTATTCTCTTTATCTTTGGAACAAAAATTGGTATTGGGTTTTAATAATATGAATCTTTTCTCTTTGAACATATTACTGTTGGCAAATGTGTATCAATCAATACCTTTATTTCCTATAAGTGAAATTAACATAATCATACATTGTAAAATCAAAACTTATCTTCAGGAGTCTGCATTGTTTGTTGGTATAAGAAAAGAAAAAACAAACCAAATATTTTGAAGAAAAAAGAAAAAATATGAAACATTTTTCACTTGTTGTGAGACTTCTTTCTTGACAAGAACATGAAAACTTTTGGAAACAAAGAAAGCTTCTTCTTCTTCTTCTTTGTTTCAGGAGTCGTATTATTATTATTAGTAGTAGTACCTCCTCCAGTGTAGTTGCTGCTGCTTCCTTGATCACCAAATGCAAACGATTTCGACTGCCCGAATCCATTCTCCTTGTTTCTCCCCTCGGTGCTTGACCTCGTCGGGCTTTTCTCAGGCTCCCTGCTTTCGTCTGTTCTCCTTTTCCCATTTTCCGACCTCCATTTTCTCAACTCTTGCTCCATACCCAACTTCCCGTCTCTAGCCTTCTCGGCTTTTCCATTAGCCTGTTTAAGCTCTTCTTTTCTTAGGCTCATTTCTCTATTAACTTCCTCTAGTTTCTCCAAGATTCTTGACTCTTCCTCTTTAGCCACCTCTATTTGGGAGACAATCTCTGATAACCTTGTGTTTGCCTCCTCCTCGGACTCGTGTGCCTGCTTGCTTAGCTCGTAGTATTCCTCTACAGAGATTATGATGCTTCTTGGTGAATTATTAATCTCCTCGAATCTCTGAGAAGATTCAGTCTCTTGTAAAGCTTTTATAGCAGCCAAGGCCAACTTCTCTGAAGCCCTAGCAGCCTCCATTTCCTTTTTCGCCTCTACTAACCGACTCTCTATCGTAGACATTCCACTTTTCGCTTGCTCAGACAATTCCTTCGCCATTCTAAGCTCGTCTCTAGCAGCTGTAGCAAATGCCTTTGCATCCTCTGCCTCTTTCGTCGCCTGCTCCAACTTCTTTGCTGTATCCTCTAAATCCTCTCTTGATTCTTTACCCTTTGTCTGAACCGAACCCGCACTTCTTCTCTGCTTAGTTTCTGCTAGATCCTGTCTCTCTCTTCCAAGCTCGGACTGTAATGAGCCAGCAATTATCTTCAATGTTTTCACCTCTGAAGCTGCTTTTTCAATGTTGGCTTTGACTTCTTCGAGCTCTCTTCTCGCAGAATCAACCGCAGCATGAATGTCATTATTACTCTTCTTTTCCATCAACAGATTACCGCTTGCATTTTCCGTGAAAGCCGCTAATTCGGTTTTCAAATCATGCTGAAGAGCAGAAGCAGTCTCTAGCTTAGCTTTCACATCATCAGCCGCACGAACTTCTTGGTTAAGCCTCTCGATATCATTTTCCACCATCTTCAATTCCTTTTCCCAATTATAAACATCTTGGTCCCGAGCCATTGCTACACTGAATCTCTTCTCTTCCGCTTCGAGATGAGCCGTGTGCACAGATTCCAACAACTCCTTGGTGGCAATCAACTCTATACTCAAACCATCCATAGTCCTCTCAATCTCTTTAGCTTCCATAACAGCAATATCAGCTCTCTCCTTAGCTAAATCTTTTTCCCTCAACATATTTTCATATTCATTACTAACCATTTCAATCTCTTCTCTCACAGACCGTAGCTCACAAGTAGCCGAGACTTGCCTCGCTTTAGCTACCTCGAGCTGCGCTTTGACAGCAACACTTACCTCATTAGCTACACCTCGCTCCATCTCTTCCACACGCATCTGCGCAAGTTCCGAGTCCTGTTTTGCTTGTTGCTCTTCCTTTTCCGCTTTCTCCAACTCGAGTTTTAGCTCCTCAATAAGGCCCTTTGTGTTTTCTAACTCCTTTAACGCATCGTGTTTCGCCTCTTCCGCTAACTCAGCTTCTCTCTTGTACTCAGGCATTGCTTCTTGTATCTTCTCAAGCTCTTCATCTACCATCTTCCGTCTCTGAAACACACATTTTCTCAAAATCAAGATCTCATATAAGCAAAATAATGTGAAGAACAAAGCTTAATTACAACCTCAATTGTTTGAATCTTATGAGCTTTCCAATCTGTGATCCCACCAAACTTAGAAACTGCTTCTTTAACCGATTCGAAAGGCGAAGCTGTATCGATAACACCAATCGGAGACCCGAAACTAGGTGATTCAACAGATCTCGGAGAACCAAAACGAGGCGATTCAACAGATCTTGGATACACAAAAGCTCGAGGAGAAGCAGGAACTCTAAGACGAGGCGAAGCAGGCAAAATCCTAGCATCTTCAATAACATCGATTCTTGAATCTTCAGAAAACGAATCTTGATGACTTATCATCACCCTTGGTGCAACATAAACCCTAGAAGGTTCATTGATTGGACTTGAATCACAATCTTGAAATGGATTATGTAAATCATCATCGTCGAATGTCAAGAAGTCTATATCATTGAAAGACGTGGAGATTCTCGTTGGACCTTGTTCATCTCCAGTTTCACCAATGGCGTTGAGAAATAAATTAAGGTCGTCTGAATCTTTATCATCGCCCAACATTGTGATGATTCTGAATCAGAAACTGGTCATGTGTTGTTGTTCCTGTTTACATGGTCAAATTCAAATTCATCGCATTTCTTGTTTTTTTTTATGAAACCAAGAATTGGATTAGTCAATGAGAGAATGAGTTTTTCGGACAACATACCTTAAATCTGACAAAGGAGATGATACAAATGATGTCTGAATTTGAGGTTGTATGAGATAGTTACATCATTAGAATGGAAATATTTTGAAGGAAACAAACAGAGAAACAATCAGCTTTGCGATGTGACCCGTCGAGCATTGGAAAATAGAAAGATGAACGAACGGCCAATAACAAGGAGCGTGAAACATACGCGCATCTGTTTCTCTCATTTCTCCGTTTTAAAATGAGAAATTGTTTTTAAAATTTTTAATTTGTTAATATTGACTGAACTTTCATTAACACTAGGTAAAAATCCTTGCCATACGCGTATGAATAAAATTCTGAACTAGGTATTAGATCTTCACACCAATATTTATCTGACCTTAAGGGTTTCCCTAGATTGTTTCATTCACGAGGCTTCGTTGACGACAAAAGGTATACATATTAGACCGTTAGTTGCATTTTGTCCGGTGAAGTCGTCGACGATCTCTTGAATCCCTTAATTACCTTATCACCATATTGTGTAGTGTGTGTCTTGTGCCGACGAGACTCGAGGCTATAAATTATTCTTCAACGTCATCATGTCTTTCGACAATGACCAATCTTCCATTTCACGGATTATCCGTGGTTGTATCGCCGATTTACCATCTTCTAGCATGTGGCATTATATCTTACAACCCTTGTCTCCGAGCTATCATAAAACTATCATCGGATTATGATATTTCTTTTTAATCGCTTTTAACTTTGTTGTTTCAAACATTGAAAATAGTTATTCTCCCAAGTCTTGTACTACATTTAAGCGATTGAATGAAAAACAAACTTTTACAAAAAAGGAAAAAATACTTTGAAGTCTTCTTACTTTCTCTTATATCTCAAATAGCATGTTAATAGAATTAATTAAAACTTGAATTTGGATAGTGATTTAAACATTCAAACACTGTAGTTACCTTAATCCGATCTTTATCCGCTGTTACGCGTTGCCAAATAGACAAATACATTGATCTTTTTGCAGATTCACATAATTTTTATTTTTATTTTTGTCTTGACGGATTCACATAATCTAAACCTTGGTCGAAACATTAATTACTGACACTTACCAAAAAAAAACATTAATTAATGACTATTGACAAAAAAAAATTATATATTTTTAAATAAAATTGACTAAGAAAGAAGAAGGGTGTGGAATTGGATCACTACGAAACGAACCCCACCGAAACAAATAATGTCCGGCGGCAAGAATTAATGATGATCTTCCTCTCTGTCTCCTCCTCCTTCTCTGGATCTTTCTTACAGAATATACCTTTTTGCTTCTTCCTCTAACCATTTCTCTTCTTCTCCGTTTCTGGGTCATTCAAAGTTTCGATTTTTACCAACCATGATTGATCGATCCACATCATCATAAACTTTCCAAATTTGTGTCAAAGATCGTAACTTTCGTTGACTTTTCCGATCTGGGTTTGTCGGAAAAATGAATGCCGTCGGTAGGATCGGAAGCTATATCTACCGTGGTGTAGGTACGGTTTCAGGTCCGTTTCATCCATTTGGTGGTGCGATTGACATTATCGTTGTTGAACAACCTGATGGAACATTTAAATCGTCTCCTTGGTATGTTAGATTTGGGAAATTTCAAGGGGTTTTGAAGAATAGAAGGAATTTGATCAAGATTGAGGTTAATGGTGTTGATTCTGGTTTCAATATGTATTTAGCTCATACAGGACAAGCTTATTTTCTTAGAGAAGTTGAAGATGTTGTTGGTGAATCTGAGAGTGGTGAAGTTTATACTTTGTCTTCTGGTGATGAAGCTGAGACGACGTCTAAGATGGGTGATGATGTTGTTGATAAGGTTAAGATTCCTTTGAAGTCTAGGAGTTGTAACTATGATTCTGCTAGTCCTCGTAGTGGTAATGGGAAGATTGTTGGTAAGCCTGGGATTTTAGGGTTTGTGTTTGGTGGGAGATCGGTTAGGGAGAGTCAAGATGGTGGTGTTAGTTCTATTGAGAGAGCTGAGATTGCTGCTGATTTATTGGACGTTAAGTGGTCTACTAATATCGATACTCGTAAGTGTGGAAAAGGTAAATCTTCTGAGTCTTTGGATGGTAAAGGGAGTGGTGAGAGTAGTACTAGTGGCAAATCTTGTGTTGTGGGTAGCTCGGAGATTTTAGTTGATAGCGATTCGATATTGGAGACTCCTCTTGTTGCATCTCCTACATTGCGGTTTCTTGATGAGAAAGAACAGGATTTTCGTGAAAGCACTAATGTGGAAGATTATTGTGAAGAGAATGTATCAAGTGGAGTTGTTGAAAACGGTTTATGTGAAGCATCGAGTATGGGGTTCTCCGTTACTAGTGAAGGGAGTGGAAACGTAGAGATCTTTGTCGAACCAAGAACCGAGACACTTGCACAGGTTAGTTACTACATTTATTCAATCTCATTTTCTAGGCAATGCTAGACTAATAGCTTCGGAAGTAATATAAGATGGTTATCGAATGTATGGGACTGATGTCTTGTATAAATTGTATCTCCACTAGGATTCTGTTACTGGATGTGTTCTAGATTCGAAGCAAGAACTGTTAAGTGCTCCTGAATCTGTGGAAATTGTAACAGTGGGTTCAGCTGACCAAGCGGATTTAGGGAGCATAGGCACTTCTCAAGAAGGAAGTAGCACTGGCTCTCCAGTTCAAGATGAAAATAAGATCACCATAAACGATATGCATATCTCGGCAGGAGATTTTGAGAAGTCTCAGTCAGCAAGTGGAGAAAGCATCCTGCAACCAGAGATAGAAGAAGAACAATTTTCCTTTAGCGATCTTGACGAAGGTAAACCTGGTGGTAATAGTTCTGGAGGGTCAAGTTCTCCTGATACTGTAAAAGTTGATGGGAAAGAGAGTTACGATGAAATTGAAACTAGTCCTGAAAAAGGCGTGGTCGCGGAGAACTCAATGGCCTTGACAGAGCCGATTAACATAGAGAGGAAAAAGGATATCTCTACAGATGAGATGGAGCGGTTGGTAGGATCATTACCGATTATGCGGCATCAAAACAACGATGATATGGATGCCAGTCCTTCTCAGCCTTTGAGCCAGTCATTTGACCCATGTTTCAATAATTCAAAGTTGGATTTGAGAGAAGATGAGTCGAGCTCAGGGGGTTTAGATGCAGAAAACGTTGCTGAGGGTAGCCCAAAATTAAAGGCATTCAATCATGTTATCGCTAATCCTGACGTGGGTAAGGATATATAACTTGTTAACCTTTTTATTTTTCTCTCTGTATGATGAGGGATCAAATTAAATTGTTTGGTTGTTATAAATTATGATGCTATAGTCTAACTCTCTATCTCCACTCTCAGTCGAGCTCTCTCTCTGCAAGCACTTATTAAGTGAAGGAATGGGAGCAGAAGCGGCTTCTCAGGCTTTCAATTCCGAAAAACTGGATATGGAAAAGTTTGCTTCTATGGGCCCATCAGTCCTGGAGAACGATAAGCTTATCGTGAAGATCGGTGGCTGCTATTTTCCATGGGATGCAGCTGCTCCTATTATCTTAGGAGTGGTTTCATTTGGGACTGCCCAAGTCTTTGAACCCAAGGGCATGATAGCTGTTGACCGGAATGAGAAACCTGGTGATGTATTAGCTCAAGGCAGTGGAAGCTGGAAGCTTTGGCCTTTCTCTCTCAGAAGATCAAGGAACGATACTGAAGCTTCTTCTTCTGGTGACCCAGCTGAACCTGAAGAGAAACAAGAGAAGTCGTCGCCAAGACCAGTGAAAAAGACGGTCAGGGCACTAACTCCAACTTCTGAACAATTGGCTTCGCTAGATCTGAAAGAAGGAATGAATTCCGTGACTTTTACGTTCTCCACCAATATTGTGGGTACCCAACAGGTCATTCTTTTCCTTTACTACGACATGTTTGTCATATAACTGTCAAGAGTTTCCACATGGTGTTCACAAACTCATTAATGCAACAGGTAGACGCAAGGATTTACTTATGGAAATGGAATTCTCGCATAGTTGTATCAGATGTAGATGGTACCATTACAAGGTAAAGCACCTTTGGTTTTATATTATGTTTGCATATTTTTAGCCAAGTCCAGGACCTGTTTCTGTTTCTCATTTCCTTTCTTTCTTTGGTGTATATTTTTGTTTGTCATAGATCGGATGTCTTAGGCCAGTTTATGCCTTTGGTTGGTATAGATTGGTCACAAACAGGTGTCACACATTTATTTTCGGCTGTAAAGGTTTGTTATACATACTTTGCTTGTTCTATCTTTATAAATGATAATAGTGTGGAAGCAACGGGGCAAAAGCAAAGATTCATTTTCTCTCCCTAACATTTCTACAGGAAAATGGATATCAGTTGATATTTTTAAGTGCACGTGCGATTTCTCAGGCCTCAGTCACAAGACAATTTCTAGTTAATCTCAAGCAGGTAATTTGACACAATGCATTCCAACTTTTCAGAATTCCAATTTCTACCGTACTCTTGTTAATCTTAGTTAGCAAATACCAGGATGGAAAAGCATTGCCGGATGGGCCTGTTGTTATCTCTCCTGATGGCCTCTTTCCGTCGTTGTTTCGGGAAGGTAATCTGTTTCCTCTGCAACATAATCAAACATATTTCTTGATTTGTTGATTCTTGATTGATATGCTTCTTATTTTTTAATTTTTCTCTCCAGTAATTAGAAGAGCACCTCATGAATTCAAGATTGCTTGCTTGGAGGTTTGTATTATGCGGTTTCTGTATCTGTTGAACTCTCAATAAATCATGGTTACAAATCTCGGTGAATTCTATAACTAAAGTTTTCTGTTTCCCATATGTCACAGGAAATACGGGCATTGTTTCCTCCTGAACACAACCCATTCTATGCTGGTTTTGGAAACAGAGACACAGATGAGATAAGCTACCTCAAAGTAGGAATCCCCCGAGGAAAGATCTTCATAATTAACCCAAAGGTACATTCTTAAAACGAGAAATGCATTAGCAACATTTTATGGGACAAACTATATGCCTTAGGCTTGGAGGACTTGATTGTTTGTTTGCGTTTTGCTTTTGCGTTTACGATACCATGACTTTTAGTACTTTGTATGAAATATTGAAAATGTTTTGTAATCTCAAAATGCAAATATATAAACACGCAAACGCAAAAATTGGCGATAATCAATGTTTTGTGAGTATTGCAGGGAGAAGTGGCAGTGAATCGTAGGATTGATACAAGATCATACACAAATCTACATGCTCTTGTCAACGGAATGTTCCCAGCTACAACCTCTTCAGAACCGGTATATATATCTCGAAATTTAATTTGTCTATTTCATCAAAAGAAGATGGTTATGGTTCGGATTCTGATGAACATTTATAAACAGGAGGACTTTAACACATGGAATTTCTGGAAACTGCCTCCTCCATCGTTTATATAATGATGATGATGATGATAATGACGATGTTGTCTTCAAGAAAATGCAGATTAGTGATAGAGATAACAAATTGGTGGTCTGGTGTAGTTTTTTTTTTCTGGGACACAAGGTTCTTTGTTTGTTTTTTTTGTTACACTGGTTTCATATCACAGGTTACTATGTATGCGCAGTTATACTTGTATATATATATTGAAAAAAGTGTTGGACACTGTTCATTAAAACATTTTGAAATTTATGAGAATCATAAATATACATGAACACATAATTTATTGGGTATTGACTGTGTCACTATTTCAACTGCAAGTGGTTGGTAAGTTTGTAGACATGCGAAAACCAAGTCACTTGTCACACTCAGAAGTCAGAACTATATTAGCTAAGGCGATAAATTCCAAAACACCTAACCAGAATCAAGCAGAAATACAATGCATAAAAACATCTTAATATAAAAAGAAGAATTAAGGCGTACATTTTTTCTCTTGGTAAAATGTTAAATTTTATACCATTTTTAGAATACAGGGATATTACGAAGAGTACATAAGGCCGAAAACTAGTAGACAAACGACAATAGAAGGCCACAAAAACGAGAGAAAGACAATAGATGGATCATACTTCGGAAGAGGAACACAAAAATTACAGAACGGTTTTGCCGCGAGGAAACCGCGATCCGAGGCCAATCCTCAATTACTACCTTGGATGATGCAGAGCTTACAACTTTTCCGATAGTAAATGCGTCTGTTGCCTGAAAAAGAACAACCATACTGGAATGATTCACTTGGCAAACCAATAAAAGGTTTGATTGGTAACAATAGATTAAAATGAACCGTTAAATATATAGTTTAAATTAAATGACATAATAATGCAGTCACATCTAGATATTTTTCAATGCTTAGATCTAAATTATCTAATTATCAAATCTCTAGAGAAACAATACCGTCCAAAATCATTTAAAAAAAAACGATCATGATGTCAAAAAAAATTGTTAGTAGAGAAATTTAACTTAAAAAAAAAAAAAAAAGAGTCAAGAAGACTAAATACTACAATTTTCTTTTGCCAATAATTTATCAACTAATGGGCAAATGGCCCTCGAATCCACTCATTATTGACTAATAAATTATTAGTAATAATTCAATACATAAATACAAACAACACCCTTCTCATCTTCTGCTTCTTCATCTTCCATTCCAATCTCAAGATGCACGCAAAAACCGACTCAGAGGTGACAAGCCTCTCAGCTTCATCACCAACTAGATCTCCCCGTCGACCCGCGTACTTCGTCCAATCTCCATCACGTGACTCACACGATGGAGAGAAAACAGCAACATCATTTCACTCAACACCGGTCCTCACCAGCCCAATGGGATCTCCACCACATTCTCACTCTTCCTCGAGCCGCTTCTCCAAGATCAATGGCTCAAAACGCAAAGGCCACGCTGGAGAAAAACAGTTTGCTATGATTGAAGAAGAAGGTCTTCTTGATGATGGAGATAGAGAACAAGAACCTTTGCCTCGTCGATGTTATGTTTTAGCTTTCATTGTTGGTTTCTCTTTGCTCTTTGCTTTCTTCTCTTTGATTCTTTATGCAGCTGCTAAACCTCAGAAACCTAAGATCTCTGTTAAGGTTAGTGAAAAAGATCTAGAGTTGACTTAGTAGATCGAGATCAGATCGCTTAGATCCAGAGTTTTGCTTAGGTTTGTTGGAACAAAATTTTGCAGAGTATAACGTTCGAGCAACTTAAGGTTCAAGCTGGACAAGATGCGGGAGGTATTGGAACTGATATGATTACAATGAATGCGACGCTGAGAATGTTGTATCGTAACACTGGTACTTTCTTTGGTGTTCATGTTACTTCTTCTCCGATTGATCTTAGCTTCTCTCAGATCACTATTGGTTCTGGCTCTGTAAGTTCAAAAATCTTAAACTCCTTTAAAATGTGTCTAAATTCTTGTTCATCAATGTTGTCTTGTTGCTAGCTATCACCAGATGCTCTTTGTTTTTTTTTTTTGGTTTTTAAAAATATATAACCGGACATTTTTCGGTTTAGTTTGGAAACAGTTCGGTTCGGTTTAGTTTTTGGTTTGTGTTTGATCAATGTTGTCGGTGGCTATTATCACATGGGGTTGATCAGGAGTGCACATTAGGTGTTTAGTTTAGTTTTTTTTGTGTATAAAATATGTGTAACCGACAAAAATCGAATTTTTATTCGAAGTGGTTCAATTTAACTTTTGATGAATAAAAACAAATAAAAAGAATATTATTTACATTCAAAAAGTTTAATCTACTTTGGTTGTACTAAATTCATTTTTGCTTTATTTGATATGAACATTTTCTTACCATTTGGTCTTACAATATAGTTTTGATGACCCACTTCCAATTTTGATCTTTATTCGTTTACTTTTGTAGATTAAGAAGTTTTATCAGTCAAGAAAAAGCCAAAGAACAGTTGTGGTGAATGTACTTGGAGACAAGATTCCTCTCTATGGAAGTGGCTCAACCTTAGTCCCACCACCACCTCCTGCACCAATTCCAAAACCCAAGAAGAAGAAAGGACCCATCGTTATCGTCGAACCACCAGCACCTCCTGCTCCAGTACCGATGAGGCTAAACTTCACCGTTAGATCTCGAGCTTACGTGTTGGGGAAGTTAGTTCAACCTAAGTTTTACAAGAGAATCGTGTGTTTGATTAATTTCGAACATAAGAAACTCAATAAACATATTCCCATCACGAATAACTGCACTGTCACATCTATTTAAAGGGGAAATAAACACATGAGAGTGCGAACGGTCTCGTATTGGGTAGTGTGCTATACATGTTACAAGGCAGTGCGTGTGGCCTACCCCAAAGCAGAAGAATCATCATCAGTTGGTTTCATAATTTAATTTATGTAAGTGATTTGAGAGATTTTTGTTAATGATACAGTAAACGAGAAGATTCACATTTTGTTACTTTTGTTATTTCACGCAACGTATCAACCTCTTATTTAATATTCATAATTATAACTATAAGTTTTACCTGCGCTATATGTTGTTTTGATAACAAATTTTGTTTTGTTATCAGTGTTGATAACAAATTTTGTTTTCTTTGTTCACAAAGATAACAAATTTCTTTTAAAACCACATATTAACCAGAAAATGACTCATTGATTGGTAACTCAACTGAGGATAAGAGTTTAGAAAGGGGATCTATAATAATAAAAAATATTAGTGCCAAATTTTAATACATATAAAAATAATACAGTAAGAAAAATTAAAATGGTTGTAACCCAAAAGGAAAAAATAATCTAAAAGTTTATAATTAATTTTTATTTTCTTTACTAGGAATTAGACCCCCCGCGATGTCGCTGGGGAAAAGATTACAAACAAACTTAAAGAAAAAAATATCAAACAAAATGTCATAATGAATTGAGACAACAAATTTCAGAATAACTTTTTTAACAATAAATAAAAATATATTTTACAAAAAAAATATGATAAAGAGACGTAAACCCTCAAAAATATTTTTTAAGATTTATATTATTATTAGAAAATATTATGATGAAAAGATGCGATCATAAATAAAAAATATTAAACAAAAAGTTATAATGAGTAGATGCAAATTTTCAATTTTCTAAACTATTATAAATATAACTATACAAATATATTCATCAAAATATTACGATAAAAAGACGCAATATTTTAAATTGTATTATGCTAAAAAGAGACAATCTGCTGAAAAATTTACCAAATAAACAAAATAAATAGTTATTTAGGAAAAAATAATAATGATATAGATAACAAAGTATATACATTAATCTAAATAGTAAATAATGTAACTTTCTATGAAAAAAATATCAAACAAAAAGAAATAATAAATTTACACCACTTTTAAAATATATATATATATAGTAAAAAAGACATGAAATTTTAAATAGAAAAAATTGTTTGTAAAAGATACAATTATTGGAACCAAGTGTTTGTGATGAAAAACACGAATAAAATATGATGACAAGATAATACTCTAAATGAACAGATATAACTTTAGTTAATGCTTTGTCCAAAAAAAAAACTTTAATTTAGTTAATGCTCCAAAAAGGGTATTACAAAAGGCAATGTTGCAACGGTTGCAAAAGTTCATCAAATATACCTAAAGTTGTAAGAATTCATCAAATAAACTTAAGTTGCAAAAGTTCATCAAATATATCAAATATTGTAACGGTTCATCAAATAAACCAAATGTTACAACGGTTCATCAGATAAGCCAAAATGTTTATTGGTTCGTCAAATAAACCAAATGTTATTATGTTATATTAAACGGTAGCAACATAATCATTTAAATAGTAATTAAAATTAAAAATTTGATAAAAAAATATAACCGAAAGACGCGACCGTAGATATCATATATAGTAAAAGTTGCAATCGTTTGTCAAATATACCCAATGTTTTTTTTTTTTTTTTTTGATGAGTAGGAGGTTCTGAGCCGAGCAGACCCCTCCCAACGTGAATCGAACCCATGACCTCCAAGGTCCCTACATTAACCGTAATTGTTTATGAGGTGTTACGATAAAAAGATGCAGCCGTAAAAAATATTTATTCAGATTGCAACTTTTGAAAAAAAACAACCGTAAAATATATATTTTAGTTAAAAAAACCAAAATTTAAATCTATATAATATGAGACGTAAATTTAAATAAATATATGCAACTATGAAGACACAACCGTAAACTGAAAAGATACGTTTGTAATTGAACAAATATAACTGTAAAAAACTCGTAAATATGTTAACGAAGAGATGCGATAAAAAGACACAACCGTAAAAAAAATAACCGTAAATATTTCAACGAAAATATGCGATAAAAAGATACAACCGAAAAAAAAATAACCGTAAATATTTAAACGAAAGGTTGCGATAAAAAGACGCAACCGTTCAGAGGTGCAAAAGGCATTTATTGAGATTGCTATTAAATATAGATTATGACATATAAAATTGAATGATTTGTTTTATATATATATTTTGTTTAGTTTCAAAATTGGAGACTCTTGACAACATAATCTATATTGTATAATGTTTAAATTCAGGTGAATATGATGTAAAAACGATAAAGATAAAATAGTGTTATTGAAGTGAATACCATTTGCGTTATAACAAGTGTTACAAACTTTTGGTCTTCTCTTCTGTTTTTAGATTGCCAGGAGCGTGTATGAAGGAGATAGAGCGGCTATGCTCTGCGTTCTTATGGAGTGGTCCATAACTGCGGAGTCATAAGGCAAAAATATCATGGGAAATAGTTTGTCTTCCTAAGAGGGAAGGAGACTTAGTATTACAATGATATGGACCGGTTATTGCTGGTTAACTCTGGTTATCTACATCTCGGTTTAATGTTAATACTATATAAGTTGATTTCATCATTATTTTACACTTAAGCTTTGTAACAATATTTTATCATAATGAAAGTTTGTTAAGTTTCCGTTAAGCTCTTCTTCGTTCTTGTGATTCTGATGATCAGAATTTAATATGGTATCAGAGCCAGGTCGGCTTCTTCCGCAATCGTTTCGTCTTTGTTCGCGATTTGCGATTTCTTCTTTTTGATTCACCAGAATTTTATCTTCCGTTCTGTTTCTTTTGATTTCTCTTTTGTTGACCTTCAGTGTTGACGATTCTTGCTTTCTTTACTCAATTCGTCACACTTTTCTTTGTAATTTCTTGTTCTTAAACTGAGAATGGGATCTTATGTTCCTCCACCTATTCCGGTGGCTCGTCCACCGTTAAATGGCACCGATCAACAATAGCGTTACCCAGAGGATCAATATGATAATCCCTATTATCTACACAATGCAGATCACTCAGGTCTTGTTCTTGTTTCTGATCGTTTATCAAGTTCTTCTGATTTTCCGTCTTGGCGTCGTTCTGTTTTGATGGCGTTGAATGTTCGAAATAAATTGGGATTTATCAATGGTGTGATTGTTAAACCTCCGATTGATCATCGAGATTATGGTGCTTGGTCACGTTGCAATGATATTGTTTCCACATGGTTGATGAATTCTGTTGATAAAAAGATTGGTCAGAGTTTAGTCTTTATACCAACTGCATAAGGAATTTGGAACAATTTGTTAACTCGTTTTAAACAAGATGATGCTCCAAGGATATTTGATATTGAACAGAAGTTGAGTAAGATTGAACAAGGAGCTATGGATGTATCTACTTATTATACAACCTTACTTACTTTGTGGGAAGAACACAAGAACTATGTAGAGCTTCCTGTGTGTACTTGTGGTCATTGTGAATGTGATGCAGCTATGAAATGGGAGAGAATGCAACAGAAGAGTAGGGTGATTAAGTTTCTTATGGGGTTGAATGAGAGTTATGATCAAACTAGGCGACATATTAAGATGTTAAAACCCATACCGACTATAGAAGAAGCATTCAACATTGTAACTCAGGATGAGAGATAGAAGAATGTTAAGCCACCTGCTAGAGTTGATAATGTTACTTTCCAAAGCACTACTCCTATGATGAATGATGCAGAAGGTGCATATATTGCTGCTTATAACACTGTAAGACCATCACATAAGCCGGTGTGTTCTCACTATGGGAAAGTAGGACATACAGTTCAAAAGTGTTTCAAGATTCTTGGATATCCACCAGATTATAAGGCAGGGGCTATAGGATATACTTACAGAGGTAATGCTCCTTTACAGCCTCGGATGCAGATGATGCAAGTTCAACCTAAAATGCTACCACAGTCTCAGATGCAGATGATGCCTTATGCTAATTCTATGCAAAAAGCCAATGCAGTGGCTCATGTGTATACTGAGAATGGTTCTTATGGTACTTTGGTTCCTCAATATGCGCCTCCGGTTATCCAAGGTGGAAATAGTCAGAATCTCCAAGAATTTAGTCCGCAGCAAATTGAAACAAATGGTTTCACAATTTCAAGCTCAAGTTCAAGTTTCAGAGCCTGTAACTTCTTCAAGCACACCTAGTCCTACTGCAACTATCTCAGAACATGGTTTAATGGCTCATACATCAACTTCTGGTACTGAATTTCTCTTTCCTTCCATTAGTCTAAAATTTCAAAACAATAATCTTACTTTTCAGAATCATATTCTTTCCTCTTTACAAATTTTTTTGCCACATGATGCTTGGATTATAGACAGTGGAGCTTCTAGTCATGTATGTTCAAATCTAGCCATGTTTAGAGAATTAAAACCAGTCTCAGGTGTTACTGTCACTCTTCCAAATGGTACTAGGGTCTCTATTACACTTACAAGCACTGTTTGCATTACTAAAACTCTTACTTCACATAATGTTTTGCATGTTCCGGATTTTAAATTCAATCTTATTAGTGTAAGTTCTTTGGTAAAAACATTATCTTGTTCTGCTCATTTTTATGTTGATTGTTGTTTGATTCAGAAACATTCTCAGGGCTTGATGATTGGGAGGGGTAGAATATATCACAACTTATACATTCTTGAGACAGAGAATACTTCCCTCTCTACATCAACACCTGCTGCATGTTCTTTCTCTAGATCTGTCATAGATGGAAACATTTGGCATCAAAGATTAGGGCATCCATCGTCTATTGTTTTACAAAAACTTGTTAGTGTCATTCCTTCTCTTAAGTCTTTTAGTTCAGAAAATTCATGTTCTATATGTCTCTTAGCAAAACAGAAGAGATTAGCATATATTTCTCATAACAACTTAGCCTCAAAACCATTTGATCTTGTTTATTTGGATATATGGGACCCTTTTAGAGTTGAGTCTGTTGAAGGTTTTAGATACTTCCTTACTTTGGTAGATGAT